GATATCCCTGTGAGGCACTGACGACTAAATAACCCCACTTTTCTTATAGATATCTTTCTGCTAAATTACTTTCAGGTTGCACAACCGGTTCTCAAGATATAAAAATATAGCTAGATTCTTTCCGGACGGAGCCCATAGATTATGTATCTGTATTTGTCAGTTGCGATTGTCTCTAAAGCTAATGTTGAATCTCTCGAGGGCGAATACAGAACGAACGCTGACATCCAATACATAATAGTGTAATTTTCACACATCTGCAGAAGCCATTATTTTTTGTTTTCTCGGGGAGAAAAACAAAGAAAAGAAAAGAAATATATAAATGTCGACCTGTAACGATAACAACCGTATGAAGGAAAAATAAAACTTGGGTCTTAGAAAAAAATCTCCATTATAAGCGTGGGATAATTTTCCCATCAAGAAATCATTGGTAAGACTCAGGTTGAGATTTAATCGTAATAGTAATGTGAAAATAGCCATTTTCATATCCGACATTCATTGATCGAACAGATCGCGACAACTATTAAGGACATGAGATTATACATTAATGGTTAAAAACGATTTTATTCAGTATTTATTATTGTTTAGATAATAAGCATTAACAGCACAAATAGCTATATTGTGAGAAAAAGCAATTTTCGACGTATTTATGGCTGTTTTTTGAACTTATCAAAAATGATATTCTTGTACATGTAGTTATGGATAATATTATACATTAATTACTAATTTTTTTAATTAATAACTATTTGTTCAGTTGTTGGCATTAATAGCTATCTGATGATGTGTTAACATTTTGGGATAATACAATAATAAAAATTTAAATTTCATCTCTCTGATAGATGTTGCGATATGTAAAACACTTTTTCAGGAAATTAGACTTCTCAAGTTAAATTTCATAGATTTTTCCAATATTGAAGGGGTTGCCTTTCATTCTTTTTGTTTTTGGTAGTGTGGAAAGCTAACAGTTTTTTATTATATCAATATTTTCTCATCCAGTTAAATTTTTGTCGTTGCTGTTCAATAGCTAGCTAGCTAGCTAGCTAGATATATACAGAATGTGATAGATAAATGGTTAGGTAATGGTGAAATTGGCCGGACAGTTATTGTTAATATCGATTGAAATGTATGATATCTTTCTATTAAGACAAGGTTTTCTCAAGTGTTATAGCTTTTTCATTCTTTTTGTTTTTGGTACTGTGGAAAGCTAATAGCTTCATTATATCAATATTGTCTATTCTAGTCACATGTGTGTCGTTGCTGTCGAATGGATAGATAGATAGATAGATAGATAGATAGATAGATAGATAGATAGATAGATAGATAGATAGATAGATAGATAGATAGATAGATAGATAGATAGATAGATGCATATGAACAGAATGAAATATATAGATGGTTGAGATATATAGATGGCTAAAATAGCTGTTTCCATGCAAGAAACATTCAGTATTTCTTGATTTCATTAGTATCAACTGAAATTTATAAAATATTTTTCTTAAAACATTTTATTCCAGAAATTAGATTTCTCAAGTTCTTTAACTTTTATAGCTCTTTCTAATATCGATGGGAGTTTCTTTCCAAACCTTTTGTTTTGGTTAGTGCATAAAGTTAACAGCTTAATTTTATAATTATTTTCTCTTTTAGTTGCATGTGCAACCCATTTTTTGTTGCGTAGCATTGTCACTAAATACTCTGACTACATTCGTCGCTTTCACAATCGAATCCATGGTAGATAATACTCAGCTTTTGTGCATATACATGTTTGTGTGGACATAATTAATAGAGGCGTTAATATGTCTGTTTTATGTTGTAGTTATAATTTGAAATACAGTTTGATTTCTTTAAGAAATTGTAGGATATTATAGGGATATAATTTTATGAAAAAAATCTGTTGCTGGTATTTTTAATATAAAATGTATTTTTATACTTTCATAGTGTTTTTTTTTTTTTTTGGCGAGTGTGGGGTTACTGGGATCCTAAAAGGTGCTACCACCTCGGGTCAGGGTGGATCTGGGAACAACAGCAATTACGAGGTGGTTCAATGCTCCTCAAAACCTTCAATCTTCCTATCAGAGACCTTGCTGCCGATTGTAGTTTATCGTCATACTCAGAACACCTACCCTGTGTCCAGTTTTCTTATCGCCTATACTAAATTTGTTATAACTTAACTATACAGCGAGGTATTTGAATATCTGTCTATATTTATGAGATGAGGTATTATGTACTTTATTTACATTATTCGGACTATTGTCCTCATCTTTGTCGCCATATCTATTACAACGTTTCGGCCGTTGTACGCTCCGACCTTCTTCGGGTGGTTGGAATGTCGAACTGAACCCTTTATTTCGCTCACTGGGGTAGACTGTTCTAATTCCACATGCCATGTTTTAATGGATGTCAGTTATCTCCTGTTAATTTCCTTGAGGACACATGACAGTGGATAAAGGCGTTAGTTAGATCCAGTGACAGGACCCAAAGAGTGTGAGTTCGATATCCGGCTAAAGCAGTGGAGAACTTTCAGAGGGGAATTAACAGGAGATAACTGATAACTGACATCCATTAAAACATGGCACGAAACGGCCGAAACGTTGTAATAAATATGGCGACAAAGATGAGGACAATAGTCCGAATAATGTAAATAATGTGGTATCTGAAGTGTTTAGAATTTATTAATTACATATTCTGTATATATCTTTATGGTGGATTCAGGATATGTGCTATCATCACTACTCCTAGTCCAGTGTCATTCATAGATTCTGGCTTGGAAAAGTTTATCTAAAGTCTTATTTCTTAGAGCATTTGCTTATGTGAATGCAGCTTGGCATGTTGTACATGTTGGTTGATCTTTATTCTTCAGCAAGTAGGAATGGCTGAGGTATGTGTGGCCATTTTTGTAGTCACGTTAGCGTTACGTCATCTTTTCTTTTTCTGGACATTTGTTTACATTCGCCAAGGATTAGTTTAACTGTGAGAATTTTATTATTTGCGTTGTCGGTCCAACGCTTTTGCCATTTCAGTTGAATGTAATTGCTAATTTTTAATTTTTAGGTCCGTGTAAGGGATATTGAAATTATTATCAAGGGGTTTCATTTTGGGCAGACTTTGTGGCAAAATCTAATTTGGTCATTTCCTCTAATTTCTGTGTCTTGGGATCTAACACAACACTATTTATTTACTGTTAGATAATGATTCTCATTAAAAATATGCAATACTTCACGAATTTGCGTGCCACCCATGCGCAAGGGCCGTGCTAATCTTCTTTGTATCGAAGCAAATACATTGGAATGTGATATGGTGTATTTAAATGTTATGAACCCATTTCTTCATATCTGTGCTATAAAACATATAGTCTGGGAAGAGATTAACTAGATTGGGTCTATCATTTTTTTTTCTTTTTCGTACTCCTGGCGAGGTTTGAAATAATTCAGGTTTTGTGTCTTCACCAGGCATCCGCAACCGATGCTGTTTCTCCACCAGATCAAGACATTCAGTGGATTAAGTGATTAGAAGATGATTTCTGATGGATTAGAAAAAGTAATCTATTTGCATAAGATCAAAATAGCAGGATACAATCTTCTGTTCGATAGGTATGCGATTTCATAGTTTGATATCGCATATAAGCAATTCACAATGCACCCTTTTTTTATTATCCGCTTCCCTTTAGGACATGGACGATCAAGCCCCCCCCCCAAGTTCTTATCCCTTGTGGCCCTTAGCAGTTCTTTTCTTATTGCTAAGGCTCCCGCTCCAGTTTCGCCATCCATTTACACAAGCTCGTCAACTACGTTGCTCGCTAGCTTCCCCCATCTCGATTGACCAACAATATACCCTCTGAGTGTCAGATTTTTCAAGTCCGCTTTTCTCATTATGCGTCCCCAAAAACTTAGCCATCTCTTCCTGACTATTTCTGTTTTTTTTTTTTTTTGGTTGTTGTTGTTGTTATCTTCTTGTAGAGAGATTGTCCAGCATTGACTGCCGTGAAAAGAGGATGAATATTATAAAATCCAGCAGTCTTTTATCTAAAATTGACTTTCATAGAATGGTGTATAGCTAGCAAAATACTCATTAGTACTTTCACCATGATGGACCCAATTGAGATACCCCGCCCTCTTTAAGACTATCTTTTTGCTTACAATTTGTGCATGACAGACGACATTGATTTTTAAGGTGTGCTTTTGATTCCAGACTTCGTTCATAAAATTGAGAAATTTACTTTTGAATTAGGGAACAGAGTAAGCTACTTTCAAACCATCAATGCCAAGCGGGACTTTATTATTTTTAATTTTGCTATATCTTTTTCCGACTTCCTTTTCAATAGCTTCGTTGTTATTTAGGTTTTGAGATCGGCTACGTAATGATCGCAGATTTTCTGGTGCTTATTTGGTATCTACAGATTGGTGCTGTCAAAATTGAAGCAGGGTTGAAATTTTTTCGTTTTTTTTCTTTTTTTGAGAACAGACATTTGTTCTGTTTTGGTTTGGATTGCATGATACTATCAGGTCTCTCTAGTTTTCTGCTTTTGCCCACATTTCAACACAAAATCTGTTTTGCTTCTTTGATTTGATTTCTAATTTCCAAAAGGTATTTGTTTCTCTGAGTGTTAACTTTTATTTCCTTTTTTAATTTTTTTCCTGTTTTCTATTCTCACATCCCTTTTGTTTATCTCCTTTTCAGTTCGATATTGTCATCCCATTAAAATGACTTTTTGTCTTCTTAGTTTAGGAATGGTTTCAAGTGCTAAAAAAGATACGATTGCATTATTTGATTCAAACAAACTTTAGGGACGTCAGTTTAGATTTTAGTTTATCGTAGAATGGTTTCTTTACATCTTTCAGAGTTCGGATGTTATATCCAGAGATCCTTTTTTAAAATTTACATATGCAGATGCAAACTATTTTTTTTTTTTTGATGGTTGTTTTAGCTTAGTTAGCAGAAGTCTGTTATCTGAACCAAAATAAGAATTATATACTCGAACGTCCATCACAAACTGCCTTAAGGCTTACGCTAATACAACACGTTGAAACACCGGTTCCCGTACGAATAGTGGAGTTAAGCAACGTCGAACCTGGTCAGTACTTAAATGGGTGACCGCTTGGGAATACCAGGTTCTGTATGTTTGGATGTGTGGGTGGTGTAAAGGATAATGCCTCGGAATTGTTAATCGGAGAGCCGAGTTCCAATTCAAGTTTGGTTCATTATATTCACTTACGCGCAAATATTATTGGGAAAGATATAAATTCACCTCTTCTCCTCAGCTATGGATTAATTAGTAAGACGTATACCAGTAAAGATATTATTAGTTCCAAAAAAAAAATAAAATAAAATTATGCACTAAATATTTAGATTTCGGTATTAAACACCCCATAGAAGCGTTGGTATGCTGCTAAACAAAAACAACCAATTAATAAATTATTTGAGATTTTAAAATCAATAAACTTTTTAGTTATTTAATCTGTGCTATGCCAAGTTATATTCTGTTTCATAGAATGACTAAACCATGCATTTACGATTGAAACTCTTTTAGCTTAACTAAAAAATTATTAGTTCTTCATCGGTATGTGAGATTTCAGTTTCAAAGCGAGACTTCTTTTTTCTCTCAAAGGAATAGTGATGTTCAAAACACTTGAAGTAGAATTAAAATCCCATTAATGCAAATTTTTCTATTGGTTTCTACAGCACAAAGTTTAGTTAATTCCGTGTAATATTATTCTTTAGTTGTGCATAGGAAGAAATCATTTGAATCTTAATGTCGCGCATAGGCTGCACCAGAGCTAGTTTTGCCCAACACCATCAATTGCTACAAAACCAAAACATCAAACTGAAAACTCATAATGTTCATGTTCTTAAATAGTTTCATGAGATCAAGATTTTCATATGGATATCATGCATGGCACCAAACCCATTCAGAAATATCTAAACAGTCAGAACAACTTTCTAAGATCAATGGCTAAAAATGGCTTTGAGCGAGTAAAACCTGATAATCTTAGCAAAGATCTTTCTTCTTTGAACATTGTAGACTGGCGCTACAGAATCGCAAAGATTTCTACCAAATAACAGACACCACATCACTGAGGACTACTAAGATCAGCAACAACTAAAATGGATAGCACATGTAACTCAAAGAGAAAATAATGACGTAATCAAAATGTTGACATTCCATGCTACTTCAAATAAAAGGTTAGGAAGGAAAACTCCATCAATACTGGAAAGAGTGATAACAGCTACTGGGCCTGAAAAACTGTTTCCTTAAAAAATGTTTTACGAGAAAGATTTCATAAATTTTAACAGAAAACAGTATTGGCTGCTAGGTCAATGAATGCTAAATGTTTCCTTGGAAGGAAACGGTTAATATTACTATATCAGCAGTCATCAGTTATTGTTTTTTTTTTTTTTTTTACCAATGTAAGATGCTATTAAAATGATTGTGTATCGCAATTTCAACTCTGATGTCTTTTCTTCTTCAGGCCACTTCAAAAGACATCATATCCTAAGCGTGACATTGAATCACTGTCAAGTCGACGTACCTCTTCTATACTAACAACAATATTTGCAGGTTTCTAAAATGAGATTTTCTAGAAGTGACTGTATATTGATTTAATTGATTTTTTCCGTGTTTTTTTCGGGGGTGGGAGCTAGTTAGTTAGGTTCGGAGGTTAAATAAATATTTCCATACTAGTGGCAGATTTTTCACCAAGGGACCCATTACTTGGTAACCCGCGTTACGGACGATGTGATATTCAATTCAGCTAATAGGTATTGTCATGAGGTCAGTCTCGTTTGTTTACTACACCTAAATGGAAGACCATTAACATAGCCAATGACTTCTATCTATTCGTTTAGTTTTATATTAGTTTTCCTTCGCTTAAACAATTTTCCTTTCACATATGTTTTAATTTATTTGTTTAAACGTTATTTTAAATGGAGACTGATATTTGATATATACTCTGTTTTTATTTATTTATTTATTAAACAGTATAATTACTTATTTACTTATACCGGACTGACTACTCCAGAAATCTTGTCAGAAAAATATGCGCCTTCCTAGGGCAAAACGCCATTAGATCTGACGTGCGTGACGACAATCATATGCTTTGTATAATTTTTATGTTTTTATTAAGTTCAAATCTGAGAGCACACTAAAGTTTTTGTGAAAATCTTTCAACTGCTCATGCAGCCTTCACCAGTGTTTGATATTGGATAGTGTTTTGATTTTTAATTAGACTAAATTTCAAGTCCAGCGGGCGTTAATGACCTCAGTGCGAGAATCCCCATCCTTTGATTGTGACACATGATAAAGATTTTTATTACCTCTTACCTATTATTTTCACTCACACGGCTCTGTCGCTCACTATAGGCAGATGACACCAACTGTAAGTCTTGGGGGTGGGGGCGTATTTGAATATTCTTTTCCAATATTTATATTATATTATATATATATATATATATATATATATATATATATATATATATTTGTTGGGTCAGTCTACCCGGATTTTAGGTGGTAAAATCAAATCCGAGTGTCATTTTCACAAATACAACACAAAATAATAAACACCACGATAAAGTTATGTTCGGAGAAAAAGAAGACGACCAAGCTAAATATGATAATAATATTTATACAGTCAGAGACATGTATTTACATATTAAAAAATCGATGTTCTTTGTTGTGACCGTCAACGGACAAATAGTTCGAGTGTTCAGAGTGATTTGTTCCAAGTGAGTCTGCAAAGTTCAAAATGTTATGTACGCCAATATGTTTGTGCGTGAAGTACACGTAGATAAAACATGTGACTGACTGATTGCGTGCGATAGCACTAATTACTTTAGTCGTGGCGTAGAAAAATCATCATTGACATACACGTTGTCATGATATGTGTGTCATGATGTTAATCGTGGTTCGACTGTGCACGGTAGAGTAAAAGGCCCATTCCTCCCCATGGTACGACATCGCTCGTTCCCAACCGCATCACCTAGCTTGATGGTCATGTCTAGCACATGAACGGAAAAGATGGTGAGCCTTACGGCTATGTTATTTTGAAACACCGGTTCCTGTACGATCACTAAAGCCGGGTCAGTACCTCGATGTTTGACCCCTTGGAAATACCAGGGGTTGTAAGCTTGGATGTGCGGGAGGCGTAATAGATAATGCCTCAGAATTGTTAATCGGAGAGCCGAGTTTCAATTCCCGTTTGGTTCTTTATATTCACTGACGCACAAATACTCTTCGGAAAGCTATAAATCCACCTCTTCTCCTCCAAGCTATGGGTTAGTTAGTAAAACTGGGGTCGCTAAAACCATTATTATCTAAAAAATATCTTACAATCTAAAAATATTTTCTGGCTTTAAATAACTTGCAAAGGGTTGATAAACTGTAGAAAATGAATCGATCAATCATAAGGCATTAATTGAAAATAAACAATGTCAAAATATGAAATCAAGCGATGAAAATCATTTGCACTAACATCGTTATGTTAGTTGCTTTCATGTGTGACTTCCATATAATAGGAAACGTCTACTGAACTGTATTTTCATGTGCGATTCAATAATAAAACACCACGAGAATATTCTTTCTCTTTTCTTTACACAAATGTGACGGACAATGAAAAGTGAATACTTTACAATAATATAGATTACAAGAGATCATAAAGCGTGCGAAAATCATGAGCAAACTCTAACCGCACCAAAAGGCTGGTCTTGATACAAAGAAGACGATGATCTGTGGTGGTATTAGAAAAGAGTCACAAACGGTTGATTCGAACAAATCTTTCTCCTAATTAGACCAATCGAAGGATGGAAAGCGCTCATACGGAATTAGTCAAGTGAAACTGTAAGATTCCATTAAGATAACATTAGCCGTAATCTTTTTTTTGATCATCAATGATTGTTACAGCTTGGATGTTCAATCATCAACCAGAAAACACTTTCAATTATTTTTAATGTTATCTCTTCAAGAATTAGGCGATCAAATCACTCCATAGCTTTCTTTTGCCTTAATATGCGTGAACTGTCATGACTTCTTGGGAAATACAGTGTAGTGTTTTCTCTTTGCCATCTTTTTCTCTAAATACTTTCATGGTAATTGTTCTGACAAATTTTCCTCAAGACTTTATGGATTTAAGCGCAGCACTAGAGTGGCGATGAGGTCTCATCATTTTACAGTTGAGATGGTTAGATGGAACCGTCAGTTCTATGCTAACAGTTTCTTCCATTGCAATTCTCTCTTCTGGCTCCATGCTTTCCAGACAATTTTCAAGAAGACAGTAGATAGCGATTGACATTGCATTTACATTTTTGAAGATTAAAGTTGGCTGGAAAGCAAGGAACCTGAAAGGAGTTCCATAAGCGAAAAGTGCGTGAAAAGAAACTGTTAACACAGAACTTACGGCTATATGTAGCCAACTCAACTATAAATTGATGAGACCTCATCGCCACTCTAGTACTGCGCTTAAATTCAAAAAGTCTAGATACTGTAGCGAAGAGCTCATCCGATTAATTACCATGAAAGTATTTATAGAAAAGGCACAGGGTAGCTATATTAGGCCGGTGGGAGAAGGACTGAAGTCGAGACACCACTTCAGCACTAATAATATTGCTGATTTTATCAAAAATCTCTAGATAAACAGCAGGAGCACCGGACCATATGTGGCTGCAATATTCTAAGCATAGACGAATGGTAGACTTATAAATGTGTAGATTCTGGTGAGAAAAATTGTCTAACACGATACAGTGATCCAACTTTCTTAGCAGCTGTCCTAGCAATGGCTTCAATATAGTCTTTCCACTTCATGCTAAGCCGAGAAGCCGCAACAAGTCAGAAAATGGTCTTTCAGATGATTAATAGACAGCAATTTAGTGTGGGGGCGTTAAAATTAACAAGCCATCCTTTGCCCCAATTAACAACCGACTTAAGGGCATTTTGGACATCAGCTGCCAACTTGAACTGATCGAACTGATCAGTTATATTGTGGAGACAAGAGTAAATGGTTGTGTTATTAGCGTAGATACCATGTTGAGAACGGGGGTGGAGTCATTAACAAAAATTAAAAACAAAGTAGGACCAAGGGTGGAGCCCTAGGGGACATCTACATTAATATGAAAGGATGTAGAAGAGTGG